TTCCCTGCCTTATCACAAAACAGCTTTTACACTGCAATCAGCAACATAATATTTGCTATGAGTTTTGCATCACTCACCTGGATTCCAGAGCAACTTATATCTAATCATCTAAAAACAAGGGGGAAAAAAAGCGCATTTCTGGTGTCATTCTCAAGGGTATCATTTGAGTTTCATTAGCAGACATCTACCATTGCAATTTTCTAAATGATTTTCAGATGGCACTGCCTTGATTCTTGGCACAAGAATCTGTGTTTGTACCTAAAAAACAGCTTGGTATGCAAGCAAACAAGGAGCTGCCCACATATTTTGCAGTGCCACATTATGTATGCATGATGCATCTCTACCTGGAATGTGACCCTTTACAGCAAAGTGAAAAAATGTGCCATTACAAAGAGTGAGGGTTTTTTTTTCATATTTATAGAACAGTGAAGGGAGAGGAATACAAGCTACAGAAATCATCTTCTGATTGGCAGAGCTTGAAACTAATAACATCCCAGGAGCTACAGCTAGAACAAAAATCTTGCTGGTAGGGTTTGCAGCAAACAAATAACTTTTATGTGCTGCTCTATTAAGATTTCCATCCCCACTATCTCTGATTAGGTGCTGGGGAATAGGTGACCTGAAGCTTGTAGACACTGGGCTTTTCATTTCCTCCAGCTCCTTGCCCTTTCCCATAATTTCCCAAGAAAGATTTGTGATTTCTACTGCCCCAACACAGGTAGATATCCGTGCAGCCCAGGGCTGACAGCCAGGAGGTCTGGTTTCTGTTCCTGTGGGTTTTTATAGATTGGCACCGTATCTTTGGGGAGGCAGCTTAGACTGTATGTTACAGGATAAGATTTAATCTGGGGAAAGGGATGCTTTGTGTATCTGGGGAAATCTATGATCTGAAATGCAAATCTGGCCCATGAGGACAAAAGTTTGCAAAGCTGCAATGCCAAAGGAATCAGGGACATTAGTGGTGGTTAGAAAATGAAGATAGTGCAGATTATTTTTTTCCCTTGAGAATTTTTTTTTTTTCTATAAACTGAAGACCAAGGATCTGTACAAATGCACTTGGTCCCAAGAGCTAAGGCAAGGTGTGAAATTACAACATAAATAATCTTACCCCATGATGTCCTATAGTAAAATATAGGCTATAAATTTTGTACAACACAACGTAATATCCCCATGGACATCAGCTCTGTAGTAGCAGATACACTGCACAAAGTGGTTGTGTGGGACTTACCTGAAGTAGGGGGGCAAAATTACAGGAAGTTAAGAAAGTTTCAGTCTTACATTTGTAGTGCTGGATTAAAAAGGGAATAGCAACACGAGGAGCCAAGAGCAAAGGTATGATGTCAAGGGCAGTGAGAGCTCTGCTTTCTCTTTCTGCTTTCCACGTGGAGTGGGGAGCTGCTGAAGTGCAGAGTGCCAATGGGACTCAGCCACCATCACCACTGCCTGGGAAAACAGGGTGACAGTGTCCCTTGCATTTCATTCCTGAGGCTTTCACAGGCTTTCCATTGCATTCCTTTACTGCAGAATGGGGACACTTGCCTTTGTCTCCCCTATTACTTTGCTCCCACCCTCCTATCTGTTTAGAGCACAAGGTCTTTGGGACAAGGACCTGTTCCTGCTGCACAGAGCTACAGGGTCTCTCAGGGTGGCCCATCTATCCAGCTCGGGGCTTTCAAGTGCTACTGTAATAACATTCAGTTGAAATAAGCTGTGTCCCAAGGAGCTGTAAAACTATCTGACTCCACAGGAGTTTACAGATCTCTGCCCTCTGTGCATCCACAGCTGGCTGCATACATCTTGAGCAGCTACTGATACACTGAGTGGGCCCTAGAGCCTTCTGATGACATGGATGAAGGGGAAAAGTCAGAAACTAACATTTTAAAGAAGCTAGCGCAGGCATGAGGAGAAAACCCAAACCAAACAAACAAAAAAAGAAATGTATGATTCTGTGCTGGGTATTTGCAGCTTTAGCTTCTGTGAGCTGTCAGCAGATATCATACGAATCAAGGGGATGCTAAATAATTGTCACTTGAGCCTGCAGCTGACTAGCTGTGGACTCCTCATCTTCTCAGTGCAACGGGGAACAGGTTGACTTTTCCTTGAAGATGGTCTATGTCTCTGAGTATGCATTGTGGACTACCTTTGTGGTATTTTATGGGATTTCTGGTGCTTTTGTGACTGCTGCCTGTCCCCTCTGTGAGGACAATACCAGAGGCTCAGTGTGGTCACTTCTTTGGCTGTGAAAGGCTGTCTGTCTGTCTGTCTGTCTATGTCGGTGCCAATGCCAGTGTAGTTATATAGGGAAATAGAAGTCAGAGCACTGAAAATCCAGGTGATTTAGCCCCTTCACACCTTACTGGCCAAGCTAGCTTATCTCTGTTAATGAAGTGTCTTATGACCACAAAAGAAATGGTGTAATAATGGAGAGACAAATATTTATTTCATTAACAAAAGCCTAAACAGGACTTCTTATGTTTGTTAACACACTGAGCAAACTTCCCAAAGCTCTAGAAATACGAAAGGAATGGAGTACAGCCTAAAAGACTGGTTGCCTAAAGGAGCAGCCTTTGCACACTCCTCCTCCTCCTAGTGGTCCATGTTTGCCTCCCTCCCAGGCAGCTCCCAGAGTTGGTTGTGACCCCCAAGAGACCGCATGTCCAGTGATGCAGTGGCACTACAACCACCACATCTAACCCCAGCCACCACTACGGGAGCCCTCCAGCCCCCAGAGGGCTTCCTCCTGGCTTTGGATGGGTGTGATAGCTCTTGTTGCTTTGCTGTGGGTGATGAAAAAAGGACCCACACAGCTGGTGAACACAATGGAGGGAAATCTGCCTCCCGTGTCCCTTCTAGGCTCAATCCCAGTGGTGCTGTCACTGCCAGTTTTGTGCCACACTTGCTGTAGCATAAGCCAGTGGAAGCAGAAAATCCCATTTAAGCTCAGACTTCATTTCTGAAGATCAAAACCAACAGACCTCAGGGGCCTGTAGGCTTTTCAAAACCCCAGCAGATAATACCTTGGTCTTGTAGGGTCCAAAACACTTTTAAGAATCCTGCAATAAATGACTCATCTAGATTACACAGGCAATCTAGTCAGGCAGAGCACTGAGTTTTTGTCCTCATGGTAACTTGCTGCTGGCCACAGGACCCTCCTGCAAAAGCCTTTGTGCCCCCATCCTTCTCCAAGGAAAGAAGCCACAGACAGCTTGGGCACATGCCTGACTCTGTACACCTCAGCTTTTCTACTCACTGGCCAATTTTAGTTACAGCTGTGGGGTGTGGGTGCCCCTGAGGTGTATATTTGTGAGAGCAGGAAGTTAGGCAAGAGCTGTCTCTTTCCATGTCCCACCTGAAGCATAAAACACTTTATTACACAGAGAACCAGAACCAGAGAAGGTTTAAGAGCAGGCTTAGTGAGTCCACTAATCACAGAACTATTTATTTTGGTTGTTTACTTCTTTCCTTATCTCTGTCACGGAAAATAATCCAGATTTATAATCTTATATTGCTCTTCAAAGCATATGAGTGTTTGTCACACTGTGATGTTTCAGAGGCTTTCTTTACAACACTGGACTGGGAAAGCAGAGAGATTTCCTTTGCTGAGTTCAAAGCCAATGGCAGTTTCGATTTTGCACTTAAAAAAATGAGATGTAACTCGTCTTATTTTGCAAACCCAGCTCTTTCTTAGGCTCCATCTGCCCCAGAGTGCATGGACTACATTCAAACAAACAGAGCAAAGACTTCCCTGGTGCACTGCCATTAAAATGTCAGTGAATTAATTTGTGCAAACACTTTAAAACACGGGGTAGCTTGACAGTAAAATAAATGCGTCATTTTCTAAAGCGTACTACTAGATGCAACAAAGCTTTTAGTAAAATGGAGAGCTATTTAAACATGCCAGACCTTATCCTTAACCACACTGAGATGTTTCATATCAGCCTGGCAGCATAAATATACCTTTCAAGAGTGTAAACTGAAAATCCATCAAGTTTAATATATAAAGATGGTGTGTAAAGGCAAAAGTTTAAATTAGAAACAATCTCATAATGATTTCAAATATTTCCTTCTCCCACGACATACGCTTTGTCAATGGAGTGGATACCCTCTGTCACTCTTTATGTACACAATTAACAGATCAGATCAAACACTCACATGCTTGAAATGTGAAAATTTTAATTAATAAACATTTCCCTGGGCTTTTCCCCAGTAATGCAGCACAAGATTGCCATGTAGTAGATATGCATGAGCTCCATGTTCCAGATAATAGGATTAGGTCTATCTTATTAGCTGCAGTACCCGAACTAATTCAGTGAACACTAGTCCATCTTCCCTACATGTTTTCCATCTTTCACGTGGAAAATCACTGGACAAGAACTAGCTCAGCCTAGCTCTTCCAGCCAGACTTTTCTTTTCTCCCTGTTGAGTGGTATGGGCAATCAAAATATTGCATATATTTGAAAATTTTATTCAGGTTATTTGTTGCAGAAAAAGGCCAAACGATTTGAAAACACAAAGATTCTCTCTTGGTCTTGCAAAAGCAGAGCTCTAAACTGAAGGAGGTCAGCGAGGGGAGCTGGTTACCTGTAAGCAGACATGGTCAACTACTGGAAGTTTAATGTCAAGCTCAAAGATAGCGTATGAATGAAGCAAATTGACTGGGATTTTCATTACAATTGACAATGCTTTTGATTAGACATTCAACTAAGGAAAGTCTTATCTCTGCAGTTAAATGTGTTTTAATGGGGTCTGTGCTACTGCTGGAATTTTGTAAAGGGTTCAGAAATGGATAGACTGGAAAACCATTGGCTCAGAAAACTGATAATGGAGCAGAGAGACTTTTGCATCTAAACCATCACTGTCTAGCCTGTTTCATTAAGGGTGCACAAAGCTTTTCAGCCTCCTGGCTATTTGCAGCTTCTGAAGTGGTGAAAATGTGCTGCACCCACAAAGCAGAGAAGATGCAGGGCAGGTGGGACACTCGAAGTCCTGAAATAAAAACATCTATGCTAGAGTGCTTATTTATTTGTTCTGTGGGAAAGGAGATGAGACTTGAGATGTTTCACTGAAAAAGAAACTTGTGGCTTGTTTTAAGACAGGCCTGTGTGAAATGAAAAATGAGCCCTAAGTCTGTCTCTTGGATTGGAAACCACCAGATCTGTCCTGGTCCCAGAAGCTGCCACCGTGGTCAACATTTGTGGGTGCTTATCAGCAAACTTGTGTGGAAGTCAGGACCTCATGGTCTCAGAGCTGAACTTTTGGTGTGTGTTTGTGTTCCTCAGGCTTCACAGAAAGAGACATGTATCTGAAGCTGAAGTCTAGGCTGAAACACTGGCTTTTAGTCTCAAGAGAGCAATTCTGACACACACAGAGAATGGGGGAAAAGTAAAAAAAAAAAAAAAAATTTTCAGGAACTTAGAAATGTGTAGGAGATCCAGGTGAAGTTCAAAAAGTGCTAAAAACAGTAAGTTTTAGTGTGTTTTGGTAAGGACATTGTATATTTGCATGAAGAAAAGTGTAATGCCTTCAGCCAGAGCTGCCCTGGGAAATGGAGTCCCTGAGAGCTCTGCCCTCTGCTTCTCACCAGACACTGTCTTCTCCCACCACGCCGGGGGCACTGCTTTATGGTGACTTCCTACAGACTGTGTGGGCGAGCAGTGCTCCTCAGTGGCCTAAATGAAGGGATTTAGAGGGGCATTTTCAAAAGCACTCAGGTTGCTGCAGAGCCTTGTGACAATGGCATTCCCACCACCCAAATGCTGGCACTTCCTTTAGCTGGCTAAATAGGCGTTGTCTCCATAAGCTTCCCTGATGGAATAGTTTTCTGAGTAAAAGCTGGATGTTGCAAGGCCACCTGTGGTGGCAGCTCTGCAGAACTGAACTAGCAGGGGTATCTCCCTCTGTCCCCACAAAACAAACAAAACCAGGTTCCCTTTGGAGGGAGGTTTGAAAATCTTATCTGGGATGATTTATTTCTGGAAGGAACGTTAACCATTTTCTATTGTCTGCAGGATAATCCCTTTATCACCCAGGAACTGAAAGCTCAGAATTGTCTCTGATGGCAGCAGAAGTCTGTCATTGCAAGGACGTTTCTCCCCTCAGTGGCACCAGTGAAGGCAGATCCCATTCCCATCCCTTCCTCCAGCCTTGCCCCATTGTGGCCCCAGCAGAGACCAGAGAGAAGTCCCATATTGCAGTGGGATGGGGCAGAAGGGAGGATGGAAGAAGTTAGATAAGCTGGAGAGGGAAGCTTGGACTGACACAGCCTGAGCAAAGTCCTCGGCATGTCTTGGCAGTTTTATTCATCTCTCCAGCTCCAGGGCTAAGGCAGTCTCAGAGGTCTTTGTCATTCAGTGGCTCTTCACAGAGGACATGCTCGGCAGGGGCCAGTGAAATGGGAAAGTGGCTTGTGCCACTGAACACCCACATGGCTATTGGGATGTGATTTTTCCAAATACCTCAATATGGGCCTTCAGTTAGTCATAGGAGTTTTATACTGTCTTTCAAGCAGGAGGAAAAGTGAGTCCATACCAAGTGCTCTTCAAAAATCCCATCCAAACCTCAGTACTGTAAATCACACAGAATAATTAATGGCATAAATAGCTGTTGCCCAATCTTACCTAAACCCAGTGCTCACCATCCTCAGTGTAGATGCCTCCCTGAAGCAAGGGGCAGGGAGGGGCAGTGTGCTGGCAAAATAGGCATCGTATTTGTGCAAGGGCTCCTGGAGAAATGGCAGCTCTCTGGATGATACCTGTCCTCATGCACATCAGACTCTGTCCCAGTTTCACTGCTGGGAAGTGCTTGGGACCTGCTGCTGGCTCTCCTCAGTGCTCCCACAGGGTCAAACTGCATCAAGATTGTCGTCTCCCTCTAAGCCTCCTGAGACAGGGACAGGTATGGGCCTTCTCCTGAAGGTGTGCAATTAATTGCACCAAAGATTTGTAGTAACCTGATTACTTGTGTTCATTAAACAAGCAAATGAGGTTCATGAAGGTAAGATTAAAGCATATTTCATTACTGAGTATCTAACAGAATGATGACCCATCTCATTAAAATATTAATCTTTCCTTCCCCTACAATGTGGAATACATTTTTTTCTAGAACTTTTAGCCATGAGTTATTCAGGTTTGCAGCCCATTAAACATTTCCCCCTTTCCCTGTAACAGAATTTATTTGTGCCTTGCAGAGAAACACGGTACAAAATACAATAAATAAATAATATCTGGTGGTGACTCATTGAACAGACTGTATTCAGGAGAAGATAATATAAGGAAAGGCTGTGCTCTTGTGCCACCCTTGCACTTGGTGCTAGCAGAGGACACTGTGCTGCCTGAGGCTCAGGCAAAGCACCCTGAGCAAGCAGAGGGGAAGGCACAGGGCAGAGCAAAGTGTGACTTAGGGTTTTTTTTTGTATGTGTCTTCTTCTCATGGCCTATCTATTTTTTCTCTGTCTCCCTGATTTTCAGATGAAAATCTTTGACAGAAACAAAGATGGACGGCTGGACCTGAATGACCTGGCGAGGTAGGTTGGTGTTTTTCAGCTCACAGTGGCAGATCCAGGCAAGGTGGTGATCTGTCTCTCATTACATGCATTTGAATCCCACCTCTTTTCCAGCTGTTGTGGTTTAACCCCAGCTGGCAACTAAACACCACACAGCCTCTCACTAACTCCTCCCTCCCTTCCCTGGTGAGATGGGAAGGAGAATTGAGAGAAATGGTAAAATGCCAGTGGCTCCAAAAGAAGGATGGCAACTCCCTTCAGCAAGATCACAGATGGGCATTTATTTCACATTATTCTGCACAGCAGGGATTACAGAGAATTTTTGCTGCTTGTTTGAGGAATAAAAGTGCCGCCACAAAGGATTTTGCCAATGGCAGTAAGAAAGGGTTTAAAGAGACAAGGTGAACATGCTTGTGAATGAAGGTGAGGACTCAGCCATGGGCCTCTGTCTCTTTGCTGTACTTGATACCTCAGAGGGTTTTATCTCACTGCATACAGATAGAGTGAACGTTCCTGGCTCTAAATGGATGTGCAATAGCCAGATGGGACTTTACAAGTGCAGATATGGTCTCAAAACACAGGTTTGGGGGATGAGAGGAGAGAGGTGCTGGATTGCCACTGTCACTTTCTGCTTGGGATCATGACAGATGCCAGCACATACAACTGCAGTGGATGTGGCAGTTCCCTGTGACCAGTGAATGCATGAAGAGAAGCAGAGGTAGAATGGACAATATCTGAAGGGGGTTGCTGTTGCGTTTTCCTCTTGCTGCCCCCGTGGCCTGGGCCAGCTGAGGCTCCCCCCTGGTCTGAGCACATTTCTCAGCCCCCCAAACCCTTCAGTGTGTGGACACAGCTCAGCATGCCTGGTGTTGCAGGCTCTAAACCCCTCGAGTTAGCAGAGCTGGAGAGAAAGGAGGTTTTATCAGTGCTGTGAGGGGCTTTGAGAGGGGAGAGGAGAGGAATCTGGCCAGTCTCCGTGCACAGGTCAGTATCGCTTTGGTCTTTACTTTTACAACCACCAATTCCCCCTCCAACAGAGAGTGATAAATTACTCTTAATGCAGCACAGCAATCCCGTTAGGAGGAGTGATTGTCTGGTAGCTCTTGCTTCAGAGGTTGACATCATCCATTGTGCTGGACCACCAGAAATGCTCTGGGAGAAGCAGTAGTGCTAAGAAACACATCTGCAGTGAGCCAAAGGGCACCCACCGTTCCCCACCAGACAGGGAGGGGCATCTCTTCCCCTAACAGCCCTCCATAAATAACCCTGCAGGCAATTTTCTTTTTTAAAGGCCTATAATCTAAAATCTCTTTGCTTTACAAACCAGAAGAGATTAGTTTGTGTGCAGATGATAAAGCAGAAAGATCATAATTTAAATCTCTCCACTCAGGATTCTGGCACTCCAGGAGAATTTCCTTCTTCAATTTAAAATGGATGTAAGTAGCTCTGTTTTTTGATGCATTGATCTCATCTCTCTCAGCTAAAATAGCCTGGGCCCCAACTTGAATCCTTCTTTTTTTTTTTTTCTTTTTCATTTGCTTGTCCTCACGACATGCAGGCTTGCAGCACAGAAGAAAGGAGGAGAGACTTTGAGAAGATCTTTGCACACTATGATGTTGTGAGTCCCAGAGGTTGTTCCCTTGTGGTCTTCAAATGACAGAGATTTAGGATATGCTGCTCAGACTTCTTCCTCCTGCTGGGTGCTGTGGGGGTCACTCAGGAGCTGGAGCTGTGCCCAAGCCCACGGGCCAGTGAGGCCCAGGTGCCATGCTTGGGGGTAAGGTGGGGACACAGAGGAGCGATGCTCAGAGACCTCATGGCAAAGGAGCTGTTCTGGCTTTCTCCAAAGCCACGCCCAGTGCTTTGGCATTAGTAGTATCTCCTTGCAGGAGGGATGTAGAGGAGGTGGTGGATTTAGCTCTTGCAGTCTCTGGCAGCTTTGGACCTGCATCAGCACCACCTTGAAAAATCAAGCCCTTTCCAGTACTGGCCCGAGGGAGTCTGGCCCGGGACAGACATGCCACCTAACTGCCCCTTAGAAATCAGCAGTTCAGTGCAACTTCTGGCAGCCACACAGCCTGCTCAGCTGCCGACCAGCAAGCCTCACAAAATGGTGGGAGATGTTGCTCCTGTGTGAGGGGAAGAGACGGCTTGGAAAAAAGGAGGGAATCTTAGATATCAGGAAGAAACTCTTCGCTGCAAGCGTGGTGAGACACTGGAACAGGTTGCCCAGAGAGGCTGTGGATGTCCATCCCTAGAAGTGTTCAAGGCCGGGCTGGACGAGGCTTTGAGCAACCTGGTGTAGTGGAAGGTGTCCCTACCCATGGCAGGGTGGTTGGAACTAGGTGATCTGTGTCCGATCCAAACCATTCTAGGATTCTATGGTCTTTGTGCTTGGTTAGCAGATGGACCTGCTGACCAGTAAACCTTGTAGTGTTTTTGACTCACAGGAACATTTTGATGTTTATCCATCTTTCAGAGTAAAACGGGAGCACTTGAAGGCCCAGAAGTGGATGGGTTTGTCAAAGACATGATGGAGCTGGTCAAGGTAGCTTCATGGCTCTTTCTGTTTGTTAATACCCTGTATTTCCCAGGGGAAGGTGTTTGTTTTGGTAAAGTTATGTAAACAGAGAGACTAGTGAGAACACAGAGCCAAATTTCAATTGGATAAGCAGCAGAAACTAATGTCATGGTCTCAGCATAAACACTGTAGAGCATTTCACCGTATCACAGAAGTTCTGCCTGACGAATAAATACACCTTCCCTCAGCAGCTGTATTTAAGAAAGGTCCATTCTAGCTCATACTATGGATTAGCTGTTAGAGCATCACAAACTGTGTCGACGTGGATCAATCATCAGAAGTTATTTCTTCTGCTTTCACTGCTATGGTCCTTACCAGCAAGACTTCATGGTTCATTAGCTCATAACAGGGCTACACTTGAAAATTACTTGAGCTCTACCCTAATCAAGCACACCATGCCCAGAATGTCACCAGTTTCTTACAGAGAGCAGAATCCATGTGCATTTGATTAGCTTGAGTTTCCAGATGTAGTCAGAGACAGAGTTTTTAATGCAAATAGTCTGGTCTTTGGCTCCCTCTGAGCATGAGCTGGCATGTTTCCACATGGTGTGACCCACCACAGTGCTCCCATGTCCATTTGGCAGAGATTGCCAAATGTGGGTGCTGACGGACGTGTGTATGTTATGGCCATATGTCAGGCAGGGAAAGGGTGTGAGGACAGGCAGGAAGTTGGATTTGTGCTCTGTGCATGTGTGTGCAAAGGAGGGAAGGTTATACTTTCCCCAAAGGCCTTCATCAGCATTGTCCTTGGGCACCACAAACTGTGCATGTGAATCTGATCTCCTAAGAAAGTGGGGAGCAAAGGCAATAGTACAGCATTAGGAGCATACAGAGACAGCATAGCCTGTAAAATGTGTCTGTAACGTTCATTTGATCCACTAAAGGTATTTTTAAGTTGCTGACTGGCCTGTACAATAGTAGACTGCCAACAGGAATGCAACATCACTCCTTGTGTAGCAGGCTTGAGAGAGGAAACCAGATGAAAGCACAGGTCTGGTAGTGCAGTGATCTGTATTACAGAACTTCCTGCAGACTTTTGTTCAGTATGGACCAGATAGTGGTAGCCTTGACTAAGCACAAAAGTCATGTTACTTTTCCATGAGTTACGCACAGTCCCATACTCCTTCTGTGTTTGCAGGGCACCCTTTCCCCATTCTCTGTTTGCTTCTGTGCTGTGTATGAGCTGATGTGGGTTCAGGCTGTTTGGTCACCCCCCTTGGGTGGATTTCCCAGCTGCTGCACGGCTTGCTGCTTTACAGGGCTGGGGAAATACAGAGTCATCTTCTCTCTCAGCACTGTGTTTCTCTTTTGCCTACAGCCCAGCATTAGTGGGGTGGACCTGGACAAGTTCCGCCAGATCCTGCTCAACCACTGCGACGTCAACAAGGACGGGAAGATTCAGAAATCTGAGCTGGCTTTGTGTCTTGGGCTTAAAATGAACCCATAGCTGTGAGAGCGCTCGTGGTTGTGGTCCCCTTGTGAGATTTGCTTGCTGCTCCTCGTAGAAGTGTGTCTGTGTTGCCGTGGGGGGCGGGTGGGCTGGAGGGCAGCTGCATGAAGGCACAGCAGAGTGGGACTCGCATGGAGAGCCTCCCCACCCCACCAGCTCCTTCGTGGTGTTCGCTCACTGCTGCTGCCTGTGGGTCCCCTTAGCAGTGTCTGTGCCCATGAGCACGCCAGCTGCTCAGAAGAGGGGTTGCCGTTCTTCACCTGTCCCCAGGAAACACTGCCCTGCCCACCCCCTAGGACAGGGACAAGCATCTCCTTAAAAATGCCGTGTCAGTGCTCTGAGTGCAGCTGCTGGGTGTTGCTGGTGGTCACCTTGTATGTCTGAAGTCGTTACTTTGGTGAGTGTCGCACTTTGTGCATTTAAAATGTTGGGTAGGTGATTGTATATGTGCATCAATAAAAAATGACAGTTACAGAAATTCAGTAAGATTTGAGTTTGTGTGTTATGTCCAGAGTCATCTGTCCCAGGCTGGCAGACCATGTGTTGCAGCCATTTGAAGTAAACCACGTTCAATGGCAGAGGTTTTGTGATGCCTGTCGGTGTTTCTTCCAACCTAAACTGAAATAATATACAAGGTTTTCATAAACTGAAAAACTGGAAGAACAGAAGCCTAATTAGAGCAAAGCTCTTAAGTATATGTTTCATTTTTTAAATCTGTAAGAGTTAGTAAATACTTTTAAAGTTTATTGCACTTAAAGCTTCCCATCACTCCTGGACCGGAAGTATGATCCCGGAGCCGAATGGCAGCAGCATGGGGATGTGGTTTAGTGGTCATGGTGGTGTTGGGTGATGGTTGGACCTGATGATCTTAGAGGTCTTTTCCAACCTTAATGACTCTATGATTCTTTTCTGTGATCATTTGTGCCATGTATTTTCCTATTCCAAAGGTTTTGACTGGTTATTCAGAAAGTGCCACACATATGCTATCACAGCAAGTAATCCTTTCTTCATTTCCAAAGAGAAGACTGTAGAGGAAGAGTTGTTGGCAAAACTCCTGTACATTTCAGCCTGTCTTCTACAAAGGAGAGTTGCAGATTTGACACTAGAGACTTGTTTCTGGTTATGTTCCTTGCGCAGGGTACTACAATGAAACGCTCCCTTTATACTTGGTTTTATAAAAACGATCAGAAATGACCGTCAGTGAACATGAACAGAGTTGGAGATGCTGATTGGATCAAGTGCTTCAGAACATGCACAACTGTAGGGATATGCTCATTTTCTATTTCACTGGTGATGAGCTCACAGAGAGAACAAGTGCTAAGTGTCTGTTTAACCCCAGCACTGAACTAGGGCTTGAAACTCCAAAATTGCCTTTTACCACCCTGACAGTAACACAAATCACAACCACAATAACAGGGTTTTGCAGTGGTTCAGAAAAATGACAGAGGAGGAGTCAGGCCGTAGCAGCAGCTCCCCAAGCCATCAGGGGTGTGGTTTTACTCGTGGATGTTTGTATCCCTCTGAGGGAAGAGCAGTAGTCAGGAGAGCAGGACAACAGACAGGAAGGCAGCAGAGAAATCCCACACATTGCTGTTTATCAGATGTGCTTTATCACCATCCCTAACAACTTGTAACAATCTTAGCAGGACACATCATCAATCATTGCTTCATCATACCTCAAATAGGATGTGACTTACCAGCCCAAATAATTATGCCTTTAAGAATATTCTTCTGTTTATCTCTCTTCTTTTAGTCCTTATTATTATTATCTTATACTACTGTTTCTATTACTTTGGGCATGGGAGCAATTTCTGTATTATCCTCTACACTTGCAGATGGATGATCTCTACACTATTTGTATTTTTCAGTCATAACAGGTCCGTTCTGTTTCACCTCTGTTTAGTCCTTTTGATAACAGTAGAACTTTTTCTCAGCTATTGAGGTATGAATTCAAGAATATCCTTCCCTGCCTCACCAAAAATACAACTTTTAACCTAAAGTGAAAATTATTTTTTAAAGACTGTACACAACCACAGCTCTCATTTCAAGACATAAACACCACTTCCTCTGTATTGAAACCATGAGCTGTTCACATCCTCTACAGCCAATAGTTTTTATTCAGCATACCGTGAGCAGTAATTAATTTGGTACAATGGTGTCACAATGTATTTTATTTCTTCTGTACAAATCTGGGATTATTTTTTAAACTGATTTTGCCAAAGCCTTCCTCTCTGCAAGTTCACACAACTGGTTTTACTAGCTTGAAATAAGCAAGTGCAAAGCCTTCAGTAAGAGAGTTTACAAGAGCATTTTACAAAATATTAGCAAAAAGTAATTTGGGATCGTGAATTAAAAGGTTATATAGAGAACCCAGAAGAGTGGTTTTTTTATGATTGAAAAAAAAAATTATTTCATTCTGCATTCCCACGAGGATATATTTGGTGTCCAGAGCAGAGACTAGAGAGCAGAAAAACAGGCAGGCACGCTGTCTTGTTTGCAGGGACTGTAGGGGAGAGCCATGTTACAAAGGTCTGCAAGGCAATTATTAGTGAGCCATGGTCTTATAACCCTCTAGCCTCTAAAAGCCAATGTTATGGCAGGAGGCAGGCATTTTGAAACTTCCCATGGAGAAGATGTGTTCCTTGCTTGCAAAGGTGAGTTGTTTGGGTTTTTTCAATTCTTATTTTCACTTCAGAAATGATGAATGATGTATAAGGCACTTCGGTCTCAGGCTCTGGTGATCTCATCCCTTTAAGCTGCTATAAATATATAGCTAGGCAATACATTTTGATGAAACATAGCTATTTGCCATTTTGCTAATTCAAAGGGTACTTAATGTGCAGTGTGGATTCCTGTATGTACCAAAACCTGACATGATAGTTCACATTTGAATGGTTACATAAAAAAACCTGTTTTGTGTTAATTATATGAAAATAATCTTGCATCCCAACCAGAAAACATTTACCCCCTTTGATACCTTCTGTGTTGTAACTATATTGAAGATATGCAAGGAAGGCTTGGGGCTGTTTGATCAGTGCATCTTCAGCCAACAAAATTCTGTGGATATCACAGTGTTGAGGATTCTGCATCTTGGTAACTAGAATTTGAAAGCAGAAAGTGAAAGAAAATGTTTGCCAAGATTATTTTGCCTTGGTATTTTCATGTTTAGCTCTAGAAAGCTGGGTTTAAGGCATTCACAGTTTTCTATTTCTTCCTAGTATGCAAATCTACTGAAATCAATTCAAACTGACTCATATCATCATATTTGACAGGTAAGTTTCCAAAAGACATTTAGCTACCATAAGCATGGTGATCAATATGCACAGTGCTCCCAAATGTGTCATTTTATGGTTGGTTTTTTTCCTTTACTTGTTTAATTGGCAAAGTGCTGGATCTGGGAATCAATGTGTGAATTTCCTTTGGCTCCCTTTTTGCTGTGAGTTATGTGAGATCGTGCCCTGCACTCCCATCATGCTCCCTGCTTGCCTCTTCCCTTCACGTTTTTGGCACTTGAGAGAGGTTTTTTCTGGATGACTTGCCATGACAACTTTGTTCAGGAGAGCTGTCTCTGACAGCTTCAGTTGTCTGTGTATATCTGATACTCATGAAAAAAAAATGAACATTTATAGGGCTTTTTAAGTCAAACCCATCCCTCGTTTAACTTCACTGGTTTCACTGGAAATGATGGTAGGGAGACACAATCATCTCTCCCATCATTCTGAAACTCAACAAGCTGCCTGCTCATCCCGAGCCATCACCATGGAGATGTGCCGCCAGAGACCCCCAATTTCCTGAGCCAGCCTCACAATCCCAAATTACTTACATGCCAGTTGTCCCTTGGTCTGTGTAATTTTTTCCCCAGGATGATGAACCTACATATACACACCCACCTCCTTCCCCAGTCTGAACACACTCCAGCAGTCCTCCATCACTGACACCCAAACTGGAGCCTTCATGTTGGTGCTTTATTTTCAGATTTTCAGTAAAATAATTCTCTCCCTTTGTCCTCACAGTGTTGGTCTCAATAACATGGATGAAGCTGCCTGCACACCTTACAAAAACTGCTTTTTATTTCTGCTGAAAGCGAAGAATTGAATGCCAGCCCAAAAGAAGGACTCAGAGCATAGGAAACCAGCACAATATTTTGATTAATCTCCTTTTCTGTTTGTGTGGCAAGAGAATAGTGTCAACATTAACGAAAACAATTGTGACTAATGCAGCCAACAAGACTATCAGAGAATCATCTGCCACATTATAATAGGAACCCATCACGAGAAACACCTTAATTACAGCTATTATCCCTTAAAATGGCTGGGTAACTCTTACATTAATCTTATTTGAAATAGAAAGTTGCCTTTATGTAGTGAGATGTTAAAAGGGACTTTGTTGTGTAATTACATGGGGTAAAGTAACTATGGAAGTCATTTTTGTGTGAGGGATACGCTGACTGCTAATGAGAAGCTCTCATTTTCTGGCACCTGTATTTTCAGTAATTCCAAAGAGTGCCTTGTTGTAAGGAACATCTGCACATGGGAAAAGGGGGAGAAAAGAGCACCAGTCACGACCATTATGAGAGAAAATAAGAGAACCAGCTGGTGAATGCCAAGAGACATCTACAGGGAGCTCCCACTGGGTCCCAGGGGTAAAACCATTTCCCTGCCCTCTCTTGCTTAGCTGAGAACCATCAATTTTCACATGCTCATCCCATGGCAGTACGTCCTGTTCCCCATTTGCCATACACTCAGCCTTTATGTTGGCTTCAGGCGTCATCCTTCTTCTTGGGTTTATTCCTTAAGATTTGCTGTTGTCCATAAAAAATGCCCTGCTGCTGTGCTGGAAGCTTTGCAGAGGCAATGGGAGAACCGGAGAGGATGCCTCTGCCCAGAAAGAATATCTGGTGCAGTCGGACGCACGGTGTGGACAAATGCTCGGGCTGCACCTCTTGCATCAGCTGGCATTTCTTTAGATGAGCTCTTTCAGGAAAAAATTAATTCAGCTGGATTTCATGGAGATGCCACAGCCCACAAGAGCTACTGTTATGAGGCAACGTGGCTGGAGAACAGTGTCTGCCCCAGGCTTGGAGAGACTTCGTTTGGGGTCCCTGCTCTCCACAGTAG